ACGAACTAGTTGTTTGTTTGTTTGTTTGTTGTGGTTGTGTTTGTTTGTGTGTGTGTTTTTGTTGGCTTTTTAAAAAAATGTGACCTAAATACAATTGTAATTTCAGTATTACGTTTTTTAAAATGAGCACTTAAAAATTCATGCATGATCTGCTTCCCAAGTCCCCTTGTAATTTTTGCATCCATAATAACAAAATTATAAGAAGCATAATTTGTGTAACAAATTTTAAAAAAAAGGTTTGCAAGTGCTTCCTGGATAAACTGAGACACTTCTTTCCTGACTGAACATTTTTGAGTTTGGAAGCTTTTGCTACGTCATTCTTTTTTTTTTTTTTTTGTGCTGGTGTGTTGTTATTTTTTCAAATCGCATCAACTTCGTGGTCATTAGCGACACACTGTTGCTTGAAACGGTATGGTAACAGTGAGGATCATACGATATAATGATAAAAAAGGGGGTTGTGAAAGAACGACGTAATAAAACCATGCCCGAGGGCGGGATTTGAACCCGCGGATCCTTGGGTCCGAGATTAACTACGCGCACTACTGCCTTAGCGATCTCGGCCCCACCGAATCGGCGAACGTCGTATTCTTTTCGCTTTCATTACAAATAAATAATTTTCAAGTACAAGAAATTAATAAAAGAAGTCCTAAATATATAATGAAAAATATTAATTAAGATTAGTTATATTTAACACTATACATACACGCCACACTATACACCACTGTTGGGACATCTACTGCGATATTGTGGACAATTGCCCATCAACAACACCACGCTCCCGCATTACTGAATTGGCTTCCCTGGTGCAGAGGCTTAGTCTCAGTACATTGGTGTTCAGGAGACTCCTCCAGTTGCTCGGTGTTCGACTCTGGGCCTGTTGCAGAAAGTATGAAGGTCATTAAGAGAGTCAATTCAAACCGCACGTTGTGACAAAAGATTCCTAATTGTTTGCTTAAATGACATTTGCCTAAACAGCGGTGATATCATAGGATGTCGACCTACGCCATGTGTACCTACTTAAAGGGAGCAACATTAAACTACATTGGTGATGCGTTTTGGGTTGGGGGGATTCTAAAGTAGGAAGACCTGTACATTACTTTTTTATCTGCCTCTACTTATTACGTAAGTTGAACGAAAAGTATTTGCCAAACGTGGGCCGGAAAAAACGGCCAATTTGAAAAGAAAAAATTTTAATTCCTGTGAACTGATAAAGAAAAAGTGAAAAAAATCTTGTTTTAACCGTATAAAATTTCTTACTCTAAAATATTGTGTAGTAGAATACATTGATTTTCGAGTTCTTGCTACTGATTAAATCGATTAATGGAAAAACGTCCAATTGAAGCGTCCTTCCATCTCCGTCCCGTTTGTCCATCTGTACCGTAGTGCTGGTGAAACCGTTCAGGCCGATTTTCTTCCAATTTGATATTCTCGATTATTTTTAAAAGACTGTGTGTCTCTCTGAGTTTGAACGAAATATTTTGATACTTTAATGTAACTTAGATCTATTTAAATTAAAGATTCATGTTCAATTTATCAACGAGACGTTTACGAGCAAATTATTGCTTGGGATTTAATGCAACTATAAGAAATGATTTTCTCAATAGCTGCTCTAAATTTTGGTCCTTAAATAGAATAAGTGGCGCTTAAAAGAATGTCACGGAATCTCGTTTTGTTGAACTCTGAATTTTTCGATATGGTAAATGTTTGAAATAATGCGGAAAAAGAATGTTGCTTAGCGTAGCAAATCAAGTCGATAGGTTAATCGTATTGAATCTGCTTTTACCGTACGTTTGCAGCAAAGATCTGTTTTGGGTCAATGAATCCGAGTCTTTCCTTCGGTCGTCACAACGTTCTACTTGCTGGAAAATAAAACGACAGAAAAATGAACGAGTAAAGTGTTAAAAACTTAGATGGTGGATGAGAAACTAAGAAAATTAAAAATACATTTACCTTTTATTTCATTGTTAAAAGCACTATGAATATGATCCGAGATACCAATATTTGCACAAAACAATGTTCCATTATACCTGATAGTTTTTTCTTCCCGCGACGCCGGCATTTATTAACGAGGATATCCAACACCCATCGTGTTTTTCCGGATCCATTTAAAAGGTTTCGCGATGACATCTTCTTCTTTGGTGATGTCAACATTTCAGGCAATGCCAGTTTCCCCGGCGAAGGAGCTTTCCGATTTGCGATCTATTTCGTTTTCTCTGCCGCCAGTCGAGCTGGCGTTGACTGCTTTCCTGACAAAACAAATATCACTTAGGAATACATGGGTGAAGGCTCCTACAGACCGACGACGGAGATTTCGCAGCAGGTGCGGCGCCCGCGAAAATAAGCCGCTAGACACTGCAACGAAACTCTGCTCGGAATATCAAATCTTTGGGGAAAATATTATACCTCTTCAGCTCCTTTCATTTAACTGAAGTGGTATGTTGTGTGTTTCATATGGCAGAGAGAATGTCATACCTTTCTTAACATAGATACTAATGCAAATAAATATTAAAATTGGAAAAGTCAAAGTATGGCCCCCTGAGATGGCCCATTGTTTCTTCTGGACAAAAAAAAATTAAATGATAACTTTATTCGCTGCTCCAAGTGTATGCGATTGTTCTCCCTCTAATATTATCATATTGGGACTCGTCAACACCGATTGTTTTTGTATATGTGACTCAATAAATATTATTATTATTAGTATTATTTATTTATTATTATCTATTATTATGTTATTATTAGAGAAATTGGGAAAGAATAGTAACAAAACGGTAGAGATGAGAACACAAATGTCTTAGAAAAAAATCCGACGGTCATTAACCGAAATGACAAAAATATATAAAGTTATGAAAGTTGACGACTACGACGCGAGGAGGAATAACATGGTAATATAATTAATTAATTAATAATAATAAAATAATAATAATTAATAATAATAAATTGCAGTCGCCCAAAGCAGGAAAATTAAACAGGAGGAGAAGAACCAAGGAAAATAGTTGAAGGCAGTTATTTCGTTTCATGTCTCTTAATCGTAAATTTACAAGTTTCTTGAAGCAGCAGGAGAAATATATAACAAATATAAAATGCGTTGAAAAAAAGACAGTACTTTAATTATGGTTTAACAATCGATAAGGTTGTCATTAGATAGATCAATAATTATTTTAGTAGTCTACATTGTAATTAATATGCCTATTCCTCTCCTGGTAGAAAGAAAAAATATGGTTAAATGACGTAACTAATGACATAGATAAGACACTATTTACTTTCAATAACTTATACAATACTAACAAAAGAAAAAACTTAAATTATGTAAATTACGTGTGATGAGAAACATTTTAGAAAGGGAAATGAGCGGGAGAGTTGATAGAAATAATTATATAACAACACCATAATAATTTAAAGAGATATTTAGAACATGGAAAGATATCGCAAAATACACTGACACACAAAATAAAAAAGGATGCCAGATCTCAAAGACTTAACATTATTGTTTCTCATATGTATATCGACGCGCTGAATTACCGAATCCAGAAACTGAGAGGGGTGATTGGAGCCATTCGAGCTTCACATTTAAATTCAGCGCGTCGACATACATAGAGCAACATGTATCAAGTTTTTGCGGTCAAGCAACAATTCTCGGAAACCAAAAACTTACGTACAAAAACGTCTTCAAGTCCTTGCGAACTGACAACTTCTTTTTGTGTGTGTGTGTATCTGTGTGTGTGTGTGTGTACATTTGTTGCTGTTACATAAAAACAGGACACGGTATGCGAAGAAATAAAAAAAAACAGGAAGGAAAAAAGAAGTTCGCGAATCTCACCGGTATCTTATCCTCACCGGGCGCAGACCACTACGTCGAACCCCGGCGTCTGCAGCTGGTAGGGCGATGGCGGCTGCCGATACCCGAAGCTTGGCGCCCGTCACACCCCGGCAACACGCCCGCCGCCAGCCCTCCATCTTCTACAGCTAGTCTGGGAGTTTACTTCACCACATTTATGTAATTGCCTTAAAACGCCAACAGAAGCGCCTCCGCAGTCGGTTGTGGTTACCTTGGGTATCATCGTGTGCCCATCGCTATCTTTACGGGCCATGTATCTGTTGGTTATGTCAAGAAGTCTGCTCTTTCCTCAGCGATGTCCTTCTCACGGAAACTCCTGCGAAAATCAAACGCACGGTGAGGAACGCTGGCCAATATCTATTAGCCTTTGCGAGTGGCACACTTTTGGAAACCAAATTGCTTAGATAGCGTGTTATCTTACAACAGTGGACATAGACGTGGACATTATTCCATGAAAAAAGGCGCCTTGAAAAATCACACAAAACCACGCAGAATTTCAGGAGATTGTTCTCATATTACTTCATTTAGTTAAACCTTAAGAGAAGTGAGGTTTGAATTTTTACGGTGAGGCGCCTAATCAGAAGTTAGTGTCGTAAGTGGTGGAGGGTTGTGCCGCAACCGGATGGCCGAGGTGACAAGACGAGTATCGACTCAGCCATTCGGACCCAAGAGGTCGCGGGTTGGAGTCCTGCCTTGGCACAGTTGCTTGTCCCTTGTCTTAATGGAAATGTTCTTCATGGGAAATCCTG